GGAGTTCCCGGGTTGCTGAGGGTAACATGGCAGAAACAAGAGGAGGACATCCTGCCTCTGCTCCAGCTGCAGCTCTCACCATCGCCTGCTCTCTTAAAGCAGCTGACATGGAGAAAATGTGAAGGTCCTCAGCCCTCAGCTCTTACACCTATTCTATGACCTAGAGGTGATTTTCCAGCAAGTGGAAACAACTTGATGTGTATCACTTTTGTTTTAACTAAGTACAACTATTTTACATGGAACTATGTTTGTCCAGTGAGTGAAGAGGTTACCTGGAGCTAAGAGTTTGTAGGATAGTTGAACTCAAATATATTTAACTATGTAGAAATAGAAATTAAATTGACCTTAAGAACTCTTGATTATGTTACTAATTTTGACTTGGCCAAGATCAGAAGCACATCCTTTTTCAATGCATCCTTTCTTTCCATTTCTTGTAGATATAAAGTAGGTCAACAGCCCTGGATTCTATAAAAATTATATTTGTGTAAGGTGATTGACCAGATAATGGATGTTTGGATAAACACACAACACTTTGGTTTTCTTGATAACATGCTATAGTTTACAAAGAATCTTCCTATTCTCTTATTATGTAATTCTCAAAAATATCTATAGGATGGGAATTATTATGCCTCCCATTTTACAGATGACAAAATGGAAGCTCAGAGAATTTCATTCAGTTGTTCACCATGCAACAACTATTCTTTGGGACCCAATTTTGTGCTAGGCACTAACAATACAAAGATGTTTTAAAAACATATTAATAGCTATGACCTTTAGGAGTTCGTTGTCTATTTGTAGAACAAATAGGTAAAGAAAACATTGGTAATGGCATGTGGTGAGGATTGTGCTAGGCAAACATACTAGATACAATGATGGCAAAAGAATTGCCACATTTGCTTGGCTGTGAGTGAGCAGTCTTGTCAAAGGAGATCCTAGAAGTGGGTCTTGATAAGAAAGAATTTGCCAGAGAGAGAAATCATAAAGCAGAGGAGTAGCAAGAGACAAGAGCTATACGATCAACTGAGAGAATACCAAACAGTTCAGCATGGCTGTGAAGCAGAGAAGGAAGGAAGGTGAGACTGGAGAGTGGGGAACAAGGTTTCAGGTTGGTGTGGTGGGTTAGGGAAATGAAGTTTTCAGGAGCTCAGAGATATTCACTCCTGTTGTATCACATGTGGTCTCCATTTCCAAGATCTCTTTCTTCATGGTCCAAAATGGCTGCTCTAGATTCAGTCACCACATCCACATTCTAAGCAGCAGGAACAAGGAAAGGAAAAGAAAAAGAGAACAAAGGCAAATGCCAGCTGTCTTGTAAGGGAGATTCATGGAACTGCCATAGGACATATCTGTTTATAGCTCATTGGCCAGAGCTAGTCACATGGCCACACCTACTGCTAAGGACTTCTAATAGACTCTGGTATGGTGACAATATGCTCAGTTGAAAATTTGTGGTAATATTAGTATAGAAAAAAGAGAGAATGGAATTTGGAGGACAGCTGGCAGTGTCTGCCACTGAGCGGAAGGGGGAAGCGGATTGTAAAGGATCCTGAATTATTAATTTTTTTATTTCAATAGATTTAGGGGAACAGGTGTTTTGTGTTACATGGATGATTTGTATACTGCAGAAATTAGGGCTTTTAGAGTACCTGTCACCAGAATAGTGTACATTGTACTCAATAGTTAGATTTTTAGACCTTACCACCCTCCCTCCATTCCTTCTTCTTAGTTTTCAATACCCATTACACCACTTTATGACCATATATACCCCTCATTTAACTCCCACTTATAACTAAGAATATGTAGTGGTTGTTTTTCTATTCTTGAGATCCTTCATTTATAATGGTCTCCAATTCCATCCACGTTGCTGCAAAAGACATTATTTCATTTCTTTTTGTGGCTGAGTAATACTCCATAGTGTGTGTGTGTGTGTGTGTGTGTTCTGAAGTCTTGATTAAACCCTTCAACAACTCCCTGTTGGCCAGAGGGCAAAGTTCCAGCTTCAAATCAATGATTCAGGTGTCTTTTTTTAAACCCCAATGTTTATCGCAGCACAATTCACAATTACAAAGATTTGGAATCAACCTAAGTGCCCATCAACTGATGGGTGGATGAAGAAAATGTGGTGTGTATT